AACAGGACAGAATAAGGCACTCAGGAGGTTGGAAAAAAAAATCAATATAACATGGAGATGGAATAAAGGAAGAGATCCAGATGGCAAGGGGGGACAGAGGCAGCTATCCGAGGAATCAGACAGGAGTCGAAGGAGACTAGTGTGGGCAAATCGGAGTGTGGGCAAATTTAGGGAAGTTAACGGATTCAGTCTTAGAATATTAGGTTTTGTTGAAGAGAGGAAATCCTAGAAGCCCACAGAGCAAGCATTCTACGTCGAGTACTCCTTTCAAATCGTGATCCCTCCAGAAACCAAGACAAATCAGTCCTCATTCGGTGAGGATAGATATGCACCTTACCTGTTTTTCTAAAAAACGGTTGTAGCAATTAACAGTTATGGGAGAAATCAACTTCTTTCTTAGGTTTAATGATTAAACTGCCTTCTAAGTAAACATAAGCCTCCACCTCACATCATAGTACACAAAACACAAAAGCTCTACACAAAACTTAGAACTAAACCAGATGGAAACATAAAAGCTGAAACCATAAAGCTTCAGAAGAAAATGTAAGAGTATCTTTACAATTTCAGGGTAGGCAAAGTACTAACACAGAAAGTACTAACCATAAAAGAAAAAAGGTGAATGGAACTTAACTGAAATTAAAAACTCCAGTTCATCAAAATAGACTATTAAGAAAATCAGTGGCAAGCCACGCTGAAAGAAAATATTCACGAAGAATATATTTAATAAAGGACTGGTATCCAAAATATAGAGTTCTCACAAATCTGTAGAATTAAAAAAAAAAAGATAAAACTCAGTTTTTAAAAAAATGTGCAATCAACACAAAGGAAGATATATAGCTGGCCAAGAAGCAAAGATAAACTGTTTCACGTCATCAATCACACAGGGGAATTCAAACTCAAGTTACCAATAGCTACCACTACGCACCCAGTGAACTTTATACCCTGTTGACTGGGGTGTAAAAATGGCAGTTTGGAAAATGCCTGTCAATGTCTTATCAAGTTAAAACACACAACGACCAGAAACCCCACTGCGAGGTATTTATTCAAGAGAAATAAAAACAGATGTCCACATAGTCTTTTTTTTTAAGACTGTTCAGAGCAGATTTATCCATAAAAGCCCCAAAATGTCCATCATCTGGCAAATGGATAAACAGATCGTGGTATATTCTTACAACAAAGCAATATTCAGCAATAATAAGGCACAAATATTGACACACTCCAAGACCATGAATGAATGTAAAATTCATTATGCTAAATTAAAGAAACCCAATACAAAAAAACACCTACAGTATAATTCCATTTATATGAATAGGCAAAACACCTATGGGGTGGGGTGTCTATGGAGGGGATATACACGAGGGAAGAGGCATGAGGGAACTTTCTGGTAATGTTATCTAAGGGTGTGCGTTACAAAGGTGCAAACACTGGTCATGTCAATGAACTGTACACTTAATACCTGTGATTTTCACCATATGTAAAGTATGCCTCAATTTTTAAAGGGAAAAAAATAAAAAAGTAAATGAAAAGCCATCGCTGATACAAATACCTGAAATCGATATGCTTTCTTTTTTAAAACTAGATTGAAGGAAACCTTTATCATTTCAAGGCAAAAACAAAACACACAACTTTTAAAAAGCAAAACTGTGGAAACAGCACAGACCAATACATCACTCAGACCACAAGCTGCAAATCACTTAACCTCTTCGCTTTGGTTTTTCCTCTATAAAATGGGAATTTTAAAAAAAATCTACCAGGAATATGTAAAAACTAAGCTTATGCAAAGCATTGTAGAGAAAAATGTTGCCTGCCAGTCCAGTTCTACCAGGATCAAGCCCTTAGCCACTGCAGTCACCCAGGACTCTAGGACTGAGGGGAATTCAGGCTAGAGACAGACAGGAAGCGGTCTGTGCCTTGGACACCTGCCCCAAGATAATGCAGATCTAAAACTGAGAAATTTCGGCTTTCCCAGATTCTTGCATCTTCCCATACTTAGAAAATGATACATAAAATCATTAACCTGATTTGCCTGTTTTATGATTAACATTCATCTCAGGACTCCGACTACAGGTTTTCTCACAGCAAAAAATTCATATATCCTGGCTCCTCCCTCACATCTTCACAACAGTTTCTCAGAGCTGTCTGAGAAGTTGTTCCCCTGGGCTATTTTATATAGATTAAGACACTGAATAAACTCAACTCATAGCCCTTACGTAGTTCACACTGGTTTTTTTAATCAAGGACTCTAGGGAATTCCCTGGAGACCCAGTGATGAGGACTCCACGATTTCCCTGTGGACAGCGGAGTTTGACCCCTTGTCAGGGAAGCGCAGGTGTGTGGCCAAAAAAAGGATTGCTATCAATAGTATAGTGGGCTTCCTGGGTGGCTCAGTGGTAAAAGAATCCACCGGCAAAGCGGGAGACCCAGGTTCCATCCCTGGGTCGGAAAGAACCCCTGGAGAGGGAAGTGGCAATCCACTCTAGTAATCCTGCCTAGAGAATTCCATGAACAGAGGAGCCTGGCAGGCTATGGTCCATGGGGTCGCAAAGAGCTGGACAAGACTGAAGCGGCTGAGCACAAATAGTATAGGACCTGGCACACAGGAGCCTAGTAAATGGTCACAGTAGAAAACAACTAGAAAATGCATAAAAAAGGTTCCCTTTACCTTTCCTTTCCAGTTGACTCTTTTTTGAATATCTATCTATACTCCTACCCTTTTTTCTCCTGAAAATTCTACCTTTTTTTGATAGTGACCTCATTCCATCCAGATGACTGGTGGTAAGAGAAAGAGATGCCTTGTTCTTTAGCTCCTTCATCTTAAAAATGTACGTGTAAATCAGTTTTGGATGACCAAATTATATGTAAAAGGATGAGGGAAACTCATCCTTAAATTGTTTTGAGGAAAGCAATTATAAAGATGACCAGTAGCAGATTTCCCATACATTGTGTGTGCGCTAAGTCGTTTCAGTCATATCCAACAATCCGCCGACCCTGGTAGACTGTAGCTCACCAGGCTCCTTGGCCCAGAGTATTTCCCAGGCAAGAATTACTGGAGTGATTTGCCCTTTCTAACCGCCAGGGGATCTTTCCCATCCAGGGACCGAACCTGTTTCTCTTGTCTCCTGCATTGGAAGGTGGGTTCTTTACCACTAGCGCCACCTGGGAAGCCCCAAAGTGGCTTGCTTCTTCACATCTGCTGAAAAGCTTTCTAATTATTTTTCAAAAAGCCATCTTTCCAAATGCTAAAACCTGCATACCAATAACTCCTTTCCCCAAAGAGCACGCTCAGGCCGTGGACAAAGCCTTCAGAGTCCTCTCCTTTTATCACACCAAAGTGTCCTACTGGATTACCGCCAACAACAGGGCTCAAGTAGATTTATCTTTCCTGTAGATCACGTAGTCCATTTGCCTAATGCAGTGCCCTAGATTTTGCAAATTACATTCATAGATGTACTTGCAAGCCTGCAGATTTCAACATCTTCAAGGAGGACACAAGACATGTGGATAAAATTGTCTTGATCGTCAATAAAAGCACTATTTCAAGACCACCCACTATTCTTTCGCTGTAAATTTAAATTTCTGTTGTGGTTTTTTTTCTCTTTCTTTCAGTAAAACCAGGGTAGAGCCAATACCCAGATGTTCTCTCTGCATTCAAGCTGCACAGTAAGAACCCACATATACTAAAGATCTGTCTGAAAGCTTTTAAGGCCAAAGATTTCTATTGTGTGGCCTGTGATAGGCACTGACTAAAGGAAACTTGAAACTATAAATAGCACAGAGAACACCATATGGGGGGACAGGGGTGTTTTGCTTACAATGGCACCACAGACGAGTTCACAATTCAACTGAATTATATCCAAACACTGAATTATGAGCCCACCAAAACACTGATGACTAAGATCAGAATGTACCACCACTAGAAAGTTCTATATGCCATCTTACTACCACGTCTAAGGTGTTTCTTCTTGGTGCAGAGGCATTCAGCGCCAAGAGGCTCGGGCTTAACTCTCCATCATGATGGAACAGAAACCACGATGCAGCGGAGCCCGACTCGGGTGCTGGTGCAGTCTTGGTGGGGGGGGCGGGGGGGGCACCAATCAACCTGGAGCTGGTACAGGGCACCACTCCATCAGGTTGCCTCACTAGCGCCTGATAATCACTGCTCCCCAGACAAATAAAAAGCTCCAACCTAGAAACAAACTAACACACCAGATGGGTCTTCGGGGTCGGCTAAGAAGGTAGGCATCACCTGCAAATCGGGGGGTTGTGGGGGAGGTAAGCGGGTGCAAAATGGCTGTCCAGGGCCGAATGAAACGCAGTGAATCACAAGGCAAGCCCCTCCTAGGGTAAGGGCTTTACAACAAACGTGTGCGTAGGGCACCCCCACCCCCAGCCATTCCCACTAGGGATGCGAAAGAGCGAGGGAGACGGGGCAGCAAAACCGCGGGCACCTGCGGGCAGGGAGAGCGGGCACGCGGGGGGGGGGGGTGCAGCAAGAGGTTCCGGCTCACCGCCTCGACGGCTCTCGCGACCCGTCGAAAGCACAAAGCCCAGCGAACGCGGAGAAGAAAGGAACGGCGGACACGTGCTCCGCAGGCAAGGATCGGGGTGCCGGGAGTTCGCAGACCACCAAAGTGGGGCTCCCGGCGGAGGGTTTCGGGCGCCCCCTTGCTCAGCTCGACCCTAGCCCGCGCGCACCGTCCCCCGAAACCCTCCCCATCCCGAACACCGGGCCCTGACCGCAGCCCCCGCCACAGGTTGGCTGAGCCGGGGGGGCGGGGGGGGGGTGGGCATCGTCGAGCCGCCGGCCCAGAGAATTAAGTTTCTAATAATATAACTTTAGGCGGATTAACGTTGGCTTCGCCCAACCCCGAGGGCCGCAGCCGGTACCCACGAGGCGGTGTGAAAAGTGAGGCGGGGTCCCGGGGCGCCCGCGCTCCTCCCGGGCAGGTGCGCGCTCCCCACCCCGGGGAGGGGGGCTCGCCCAGGCGGGTCGCGCTCACCAGGTACCAGACGCCGAGCAGGATGGTGCCGGTGCGGACATGGCAGCATAGGCAGCAGCTGTTGGAGTAGAACCGCGTCCAAGGGGCCACCATCTTCATCGCTCGGGCCGCGGGCGCTGTGGCGCGACTCTGCGCCCAAGTTCGCAGGAGCTTCGGCCGTCGGTCCTGCTCCCCGCGCGGCTGTCGCCGGCCCCCCTCTCCCCGGCTACCCTCGCTCCCTCTTCCCAGCCCGCGTCCGCCGCCCACCGGCCCCGGGCCCCGCGCCTCTCCCCGCGAAGAGCTCGCAGCTGGAACCTCGGCCGGACCCTGCGCTCCGAGGGCTGCGGGGAAAGGGGGCGGGGCCGGGGAGAGGGGCGGGGGCGGGGCGCGGCGGCCGCGGACCACGTGACGGGCGCCGGGGGCCCTGTGACGTCACCGCGGGCTCCGGCCGGCGGCAGGCGCCGCCCGCCCAGGGGGAACGCAAATCAATCAACCCTCACCCCGGGTCGTCCCCGAGTCGGCCCCCGGTGGAGTTCCGGGCCTTCCCCTCTTTCGATTGGTCATCCGTGTAACTCCACCACCAGTTCGAGATTCTTTTACAGTCTAGTTAGTGGTGGGTTTTTTTTTTTCTCCTTCCACTTGTATCTTGCAGATATTCTGTAGGTTCGGTGCCATCCCCGTTGCTATCTTGCAGACTGGCTGGAGGAGGGAAACGGTAGGGGTGATTCCGGCCAACTGCAGTCCTTTGAACCGCTGCTGAAGCCTCCCAGAGCAGTCTGTCTCTGCTTCCCTCCAGCTCAATCACTGTGCTACTAATCTTTTCACAGTAAATAGGATGTGTACCTGCTATGCTTCAGGTAGCATTTTTAAATCGTGACTGCAGCTCTAAAGAAACAGTCATCAAGCCAAGTACTGCCACAAGGTGTAAGAAGGTAAGGTAAGGAGTCCTGGGGAAAAAAAGAGAACCAGGCATGGCTTTCTTGGCATAAGAGAAGCCTTTTTTGGCCTGAGCCATTTTGTGATCTAAGACTGACCCCAGTGCTTGTCCTTCAACGGGCCTCAGCAAGAAAGTTCTTAAGGGAACGCAAGAAAAAACTGTTAAGGGGCAAGAGAAGTAACAATAGCAAAGATAACAAATCAGGTGTGACGACTCCCAGGTGTGTTTCAGTGGTACCCATTAACCTGGCACACTTTCTTGAACTGTTTTGCAGAATCTAAACCCCTTCCATTGTGCAACCATCCTCTAAGGCAGGAGTCCCCAACACCCCCCACCCCTCATTAGAAACGGGACCACACAGCAGGAGGTGAGCAGTTGCCTTCCATGAAACTGGTCCTTGGTGCCAAAAATGTTGGGGACCACTGCTCTAAGGGACGATGTTGTAGACCTTTTTTGGCCCTCATGACTTCAGTCAACTCAAGTTTGGACTCTGATCACCCAAGCCCCTTCATGAATATGCCTACAGCCTTAGCTTAAAACTTCCCCAGTTTTGCTCTTAGACACTGCTTTGGGGAAGATCCCCAGTGTTCTCCTTACTTGCTGCAAGTAATAAATCCTTTCTTCTCACAGTCCTTGTTTTGGCTCCACACCCACCAAGATGTGAACCCAGTTTTTTGGGTCGCATCTGTGAGACCCAACACAGAGAGATAAGAGATACTTTTAGGACTCCATTTTGCAGTTATTTCCTCCCATCTAGTGTTTGGTCTGGAAGTGATCTTGGAGAGAGAGTGATCCTGAAGAGAGATCTTAGTTTCCTCTCCAGGAACTGAATCTGGGCAGCCTGAATGCAAACCAGGAAACCTAGCCACCAGACCACGGAGGACTAGAGGCTAGAAGCAAAGTGGCCCTCACTCCTTTCCAAGTTTGAAAACAAGAAAGTTTCCAGGAGGCCAAAACTAAAAACAGTTACAAAGTTTATTATTACAGATGCAGCACAATGTATGGGAGAACACATAGTAGAAAAACAGTTTATCTATGTAAGTCAGAGGCAGAGCAGAGATACACGCCAGGGAGAAAGGGTATGGCATCCTTTCTAAGGAGGAGAAAAGGAGCAAGTCCAAAGCAAGAGAGAAATACATTCAAAGAGGAGTGTGGCCATCCTGAATGATGAGGACCATGCCACGTCAGAAACTAGGCAGAGACACACACCTGGAGAGGAATGTGGGTGTCCTGAGTGAGGAGGGGCCAGTAAAGAGGTGATTTAAGTCACATATAAGACAGTGCTTCTGGGTCTTTGTTTTGTTGCTGTTTAGTCATTAAATCGTGTCCAGCTCTTTGGTAACCCTAGTGACTGCACCCTGCCCGGCTCCTCTGGCCATGGGAATTCCCAGGCAAGAATAGCAGAGTGGGTTGCCATTTCCTTCTCCTGAGATCTTCCCGACCCAGGGATCAAATCCGCGCCTCTTCTGTTTCCTGCATTGGCAGGTGGATTCTTGACCACTGAACCACCTGGGAAGTCCAAGTCATTGTTTACCTTTGGTTAATTATCGTGTTTCTTTTTTCACATCTGACTGCTCCTTGGACCATTCCCAAGAGGCATGCACATGCTAAGATGGATCCAACCATAGAGGCCTGTGGGTACATGTCCACACTTACTGTGAGATTGGACTCCTTCCCATTTTGACCCTCAAGAAGATTTCCTGCACTTGTGCAGACAGGGAAGTCTTCTGTGACCTCAGGATTGGGCACCTTATCTCTTTACTTTAGAAGAGCTCAGACTTTGCCTCTAGCTTTGTTCTCAGAGAAGGAAATGGCAACCCACTCCAGTATTCTTATCTGGAAAATCACAAGGATGGAAGAGCCTGGCAGGCTATGGGGTCCACGGGGTTGCAAAGAATCGGACTCGACTAAGCGACTAACACTTGTTCATGAAGTATCTGGGTGAGAAAAAAACTTGAATTTTACTCCAGTTGACAAACACCAGGTGTCCAACCCATCTATCTCTTACCTCAGAAGAATCTTTGTTCTACGTTAGCCACTAATCACTGTGTAAGCCAAGCATCTCAGACAAGTTAAGATTATTATAGAGCACGTGTCAGTGTTTCATTTTGGATTTGAAAAAAGAGAAAGACTGGTTGGATCTATATTTCTTGAAGAAAGATTATATAGAAAGGAGGAAGAATATGAGATAAGGCTGCTTAAGTGCAAGCTTAACTTTACGAGGCTGTAAAGTTGTCACATTCTTATTGTGTAGTGTAAACCTGGATCTCAAGGAACTCTAGAGTCACCCCCAGAGATGTCAACCACAAGCCCTAATAAGAAATAATAATGAACACCAAAGCCGAGGAGGACCCTGCGAGGCCCTCTGGATACAAAAGCCCCTCCACTGCTCCTGTTTCTTGTTTGTAGAAAAGGGTTTTAGTCTCCTAAGCCTTCCCTGAGCTTCAAAGAGCAGGCAGTTCTTGCTGACTAGAGAAGCGAGGGAATGCAGAAACAAAGGAAAAGCAGCTCAGCAAGAAAAGTCATAATAGCCCAGTGTTCAAACAGGATCCCACTTCCTCCCCTAGGAACACAACAATCTGACACATACCTCTGAGTTGTGCAGAAACTAAGACACACCGCCCTGCCCCTGGTGGACAATGATGAAGACCCCAGATGCTTAACACTCCTGAAACATCACCCTCTAACCTCACCACCAACCAATCAGAAGAAGGTCATACCCGCTGCGGTTCTCACCCCAAATGTCACCTTTAAAAATGCTTCCTTGAGACCAACATGTACACGCTGGTGTATATAAAATAGATAACCAACAAGGACCTACTGTATAACAGAAAGAACTCTGCTCAATGATATAGGGCAGACAGAACGGGAGGGGTGTTAGGGGGAGAATGGAGATGTATGTGTGTATATATATATAGGGCTGGGTCCATCTGATATGCACCTGAAACTATCACAACATTGTTAATTGGCTATATTCCAATAAAAAATAAAAAGTTAAAAATAAAAGATATATGGTTATAGTAGTAATCTTGGCAAGGCAGCAATGAGTGGTGGCATCAAGTGAGATCTTCATCACCTAACAAGAAATTGAACCTGGGTAGCTTGAATGGAAACCAGGAATCTTAGCCATCAGATCGGGGGGTGGGGGTGGGGGTTGAGGGGATAGAGGCTAGAAGCTATTTTTCCCTGGATGTTTGCCCCCAAGTGAAAATTGAATTTCTCACAGAGGCAAAAACTGTAAATGCAGGTTGTTTGTCGCTCAGTTGTGTCTCACTCTTTGTGACCCCACAGACTGCAGCACACCAGGCTTCCCTTCCTTCACTATCTCCCAGAGCTCGCTCAAACTCATGTCCATCGAGTCAGTGATACCATCCAACCATCTAATCCTCTGTCTTCCCCTTCTCCTCCTGCCCTCAATCTTTCCCAAGATCAGGGTCTTTTCCAATGAGTCGGTTCTTCACATCAGGAGGCCACAGTACTGAAGCTTCAGCATCAGTCCTTCCAATGAATATTCAGGACTGATCTCCTTTAGGATTGACTTGTTTGATCTCCTTGCAGTCCAAGGGACTCTCTAGAGGCTTCTCCAGCACCACAATGCAAGAGCATCAATTCTGCACTCCGCCTTCTTTATGGTCCAACTCTCACATCTGTACATGACTGCTGGAAAAACCATAGTTTTGACTATATGAACCTTCGTCAGCAAAGTGATGTCTCTGCTTTTTAATATGCTGTTTAACTTTGTCATAGCTTTTCTTCCAAGGAGCAAGTGTCTTTGAATTTCATGGCTGCAGTCACTGTCTGCAGTGATATTGGAGTCCAAGAAAATAAAATCTGTCACCGTTTCTACTTTTTTCCCTTCTATTTACCATGAAATGATGGAATGGAATGCCATGATTTTCATTTTTTGAATGCTGAGTTTAAAGCTCGCTTTTTCATGCTTGTCTTTCACTTTCATCAAGAGGCTCTTTAGTTCTTTGCTTTCTGCCATTAGTGTGGTATCATCTGTATATGTGAGGTTGTTGATAATTCTCCAATCTTGATTCTAGCTTGTGATTCATCCAGCCAGGCATTTTACACAATGTAATCTGCATATAAGTTAAATAAGCAGGATGACAATATACAGCCTTGAGGGACTCCTTTCCCAATTTGGAACCAGTCCATTGTTCCGTGTCCAGTTCCAACT